GTGTTTTGCAACTCTACTCTTTCACAAAGAGCTAGAAGTTCTTCAAGGAGTTTAACCTCTAGAGACGTAGACACTAGTGAAAATGACAAGTGTTAATTAAATTGAAAGACTCAATAAGCATGATAACAAATGAAGTTGGAATGCTTACTTTCACTTAATGCTTGACCTTTGGAAGTTTTGTTATTCCCTATCTCCTTCTCCTAAGGTGCCATCGCTAAAACAAAACAAGGCATATCAGATACCGAAGTAAAGGGGCATAGAAAGAGGATTTGAATGTTATCACTTACCAAAGTCTGGAGATGTAATTTTTCCCATAGGAGCTTCTTCACAAAGACTTGACTCTGTAACATTAGATGCTTTATGAGTGGTCTGAAGCTCAAAATCCCTAGCCTGAACATCTGTAGTGTTGCTTTGCACAGCTATAGGAATAGATTCCGTGGTCTTCGGTTCAGCTTCATCATGAACTTCTTCTTCTTGTTCTTAAGCAACCATAGAGGGTTGTTTTGGCTCAAGCGATGGTTTTACGGCTGGATTGGGCATATGATCTTTATCTCCTTGTTCAGCCCCATCTTGAGTATCTACCAACTTGTTTGGGTCAACCACAGAAGGGTTGATTTGGTTCAAGTGATGACTCTGAAGATAGAGTTAACAGATCATGAGCTAAGGGGGAAACAGTGCTAACAGTAGCATTGACAAACTGAATAGGTGTGTTTACTTGGCTGAAAGTAGGATCTACAGGCTGATCTAAATAAAGAGAAGAATTAGAAGTTGGTTCTTGAACAGGAACTTCAAGGTTTGATTTGCAAGGGCTTGATTGATCGCACACATTACCTTCAGTACTTAGAACTTTAGGATCACTACCAGATAATGGTCTAGACCCCACTGGCTGATTATGTGAAGGCAAATTAGCACTCTAACTCTTACTAGAGTCAACATTACCCTTTATCTTCTTTTTATCAAGCCCTTGGTATGTTGGAGAAGAGGGTACATGATCGCGAGGGGGTGACTTCTCTAATGACAACATGCTAGAAGCAGCTAGAGCTGGGCATGGGCCGGGCCGGCCCACAGGCGGCATGGGCACGACACGAGGAACGAGGGATGGGCATTGGGCCGTGCCATGAACAAAAAAGTAAAAATTCAGCACGAATCGAGCACGAGCCCGCGGGCGGCACGACCCCCCTGCACGACCCATAATAATATAAATAATAAAAAAAAAACTATAAACAATAAAAATAAATATAATAAAAAGAAATATAATAAATTAATAATTAAAATAAAAATAATAAAAAGAACCATAATAATATGAAGAACTATAAATAATAAAAATAAAAACAATAAAAATATTAAAATTAATTAATTAATAATAAAATTATTTTATTAATAATAAAAATAATGGGCTGGCCCGCGGTCCGGCACGACCTGGCCTGCCAGGCACGTGGGCTAGGGTGTGTAATTTGAAGGCACGACATGACACTGCCTGCCTTCACCTCAGCCCGAAGCCACACGACCCGGCCTTTCCTCTGGCCCGAGTTGGCACGGCCCACAGCGGCATGGCACGACCCGAATTCAAACTCTAAAAACTACTTATTTTTCATCACTTTCAATCGAAATAGGGTTGGAAGGCGTGGTCTTCTCTAGAGACTTCCGTTTCTTTTTAATGTTGGGAGCCAGACTTGACATGAAGGAAGCCAAAGTGAGTAACAAGATGCAAGAAGCTTGGACAGTTTAGAGCTAATGCACTTACTAGTAAGAGGGATATAAGTAGTTTCTAGCTCTGATTCTGTCTTTAATGCAGATTTTGCTCTTGTGCTAGGAATTGATATAGGGATGCTTCTATGCTTGTTACTTCTTGACTTTTGTAAGGAACTCGGGTTTGAAAGAAAGATCATCTTTCTCAATCCATCTCTATCAGTGTAGGAACAGATAATACTTCTGTGAGAGTCATATATGACCATGGGAAGATAATTGAATTCTGTTGCCATCTTGGATGAACGATCAATCTGATGTTGAGCAGTCTTGACCTTCATTTTGATTGAAGAAATAGCGGTTTTCTTCTTACTTGAAAAGTAGTTTGTAAGTGAAAATGAAAGAAGTAATTGGATAGAACATTGGGAAGCAATCGTACCCTTACACGTTTTATACATAGATTTATCCCGACTTTTCATTACATTCTTGTATGGTTTTAGGCTCTTTAGAGCCATTTTTCGCTAACATTCTCTTCTCTAGTGTGTTCGGTGTATTTTTATAAGTTTTACAGGAACTTGGAGTTTCTCGGATGATTCAGACACGTTTTTGAGCATTTTGGAGATGTTGGTGGATAAGGATGTAAAACCGAGCTAAATAAGAACCAAGTCTTAGAAGAATTTGTAAGCAAGGAGCATTTTTTATCGGGCTATGAATGCCCGGTCAGACCGGGCACAGTAGGATTTGTTGGTTGATGCTAATGTTGAAGCAAAGAAGTTGTTTTAGGCTTTTATGCCACGTGCCCGATCGGACAACCCATGCCTGGTTGGACCGGGCGCGTGGTGGTTGATGGTGCTCAAGCTACGAAGATCAGCAAGGCAGCCAGAGAAGAAGCTGTGCCTCGCACCCGATCGGGCGCTGAGGAAGAAGGCAAGGAAGAAGCAGTAGCTTATTTAATCCCACCTGCCCGATCGGGCATGGAAAGCCTAGTCAGACCGGGCAGTGTGGTGCGCATTGCCAGTTTATTTTTTTCTTATTTTTATTTCATTAAGGGTATAAATACCCATTGTATTTATCATTAGAAAACAGATTATTATCTCCTTAAGTTTTATTTCTCTCTCAAGAACCCTAGTTTATCACTTTTTAGCAATTTAATTTCTAGGTTAGATTTTGGTATTGTTGATTAACAATTTGAGTAATTTCAATTGAAGCATCATTGGTATTCATCTATATTCCTTTCTCTTTCAATTATTTTTGTTTTCAATTATGTTTCCCTTGATTATTATTGTTATTGCTTATTTCAATATGTGTGAGTAGTTTTCTTATTCCAAGATCTAGGGTAGCCCAATTATGATTGATGCATGAATTAATTCTTTAAATTCTCTAATAACCATTGCAATTGTTTATGCTAAATTGATTGTGATTATGCCAATACTAGATTAGAGATAATTAGTATTGTTATTATTCCATAGTTCTAATTACAACGAGAGTTGGGTTTTAACGGAATTGAGTAGATTAATTTAGGGTTTGAAATTCATCACGAGAGTAGTTGAATTGATAATTGGGAAGTGAAGTAAAGTGTTTAATGTCTCTAATTTGCATGATACCATGAGAATAGGCTTGATTGTATGTTAGGGAAGCCATTGATGCTCGAGAGAGGTCCTTGGTATTGATTAGGGTTTGCTTTTCCCCATGTTAATTGGAATTATATGTTAGGGGTAGATATATAATTGCATCGATCGTAATTGTGGTGATACTTGATCTTGGATGTTTTAGATTTTTGATTTATTATATTCGTTTGATTTATTCTAGTTTTCCATACATTAGCTTTTAGTTTATTCCATCATTGTTTGATTCTTGCTTGGTAATTACTTGAGTCTAGATAATTTAGGTGAACTTTAGTCTCTGTGGGATCGACCCTGATTTACCCTACTACATAATTAGGAGGAATAGTTAGGTTATTTTTGTTAGGTGTGCGACCGCCTATCAAATTTTGGCGCCATTGCCGGGGACTAACGGTTTCATTTGATTATTTGTGATTCGTTTTTGCTAAGCTTATTTCATTGCTTCGGCTATTTTCTTTTGTGTTTTTGATATTCTTTCTCTAGTTTTCTTGTTGCATGCCCACACGATGCTCAGAGTCAGACGATCTTGAACCATTTGACTCTGAAATCGAGGCAACTATAAGAAGAAGGAGAACAAGAAATCGACGTAAGAAAAACATGGACGACGCCACGAAATCTCTTTTGGAGTACGGTATTCCTGATACGACTACCGGACTCCTTTCTAGCATTGTCAGACCACCTGTGACGGCTCAGCACTTCGAGCTAAAGCCACAATTCATTCAATTCATCTCCAATGATTCATTTGCAGGCTCACCGCATGATTGTCCGGTAAGTCATATTGATAGTTTTCTGGAGATATGTGATACAATGAAAATGAATGGTGTTACAGATGATGCTATTAGACTACGCCTTTTCCCTTTCTTATTAAGGGATAGGGCAAAGAAGTGGTTGAGAGATGAAGGCACTGGCTCGTTCGATACATGGGACAAGCTAGTGAAAGCCTTCTTAGTAAAGTTTCTAGGACAGGAGAAGACTGCTAAGTTGAGAAACGAATTATCCACCTTTCGATAGTCAGATGACGAGTCTCTCTATGAGGCTTGGAGAAGATTCAAGAGGTTGCAGAGACAATGCCCTCATCATGGCATCCCAGAGTGGATGTTAATTCAAACATTCTACAATGGTTTGGCCCATGAGTTCCGCATATACATCGATGCTGCATCCGGAGGTTCGATCATGACTAAGAACCCAACGGAGGCCAAGGAGCTCATAGAGAAAATGGCGGCCAACGATAATTACTATCTAGGAGGCCGACAGAATGTGAAAAAAGGAGGTAAGCTAGATGTAGATGCTTTGACTATGTTAACCAGTTCTGTGCAGGCACTAACAAGCAGGTTTGATAAGCTCCAAGCTGGAACTTCTACTAGCCCACAGGAAGTTTGTCAAATGTGTAATGTGCAGGGTCATATCGCACCCGATTGTCCACAAAACTCGAATGAAATGTCAATTGAGCAAGCTAATGCATTTTATTCCTCAAATCCTCAAAAGCCCTATGATCCCTACTCCAATTCTTATAATGAAGGTTGGAAACACCATCCTAACTTCTCTTATAAGAACACCCAAGCACAACAGAATCCACCACCACCATCGCCTCGACCCAACAACTATAACTCACCACCCGACTTCCAACAAAGACCACCTATGAACCAACAACCAACGCACCCACTTCCCTAAAAATCTAGCATTGAGTTGATGATGGAAAGCTTCATTACCACAACCAATAATGCCATCCAACAACAAGGTAGCTCCATCCAAAAGTTGCAAGCCCAGAGTAAGCTCATGGAAAACCAAAAAAGTCAACTTTCACAACAAGTGAGTCGTTTATCAACTCTTCATGATCAAGCGAATGTCCAAAAAGAACAATGCAATGCAGTTTTCTTAAGAAGAGACGAACCATCTCCGAGGCAAATAGATGAGAAAGTGCACAGTCTGGAGCCAAGAAAGGACGAAAAGGGTGAAGATGTACATAGTTCCAAATATGTTGCTCCATCGGCCTATGAGGAACCGATGCCCTTCCCGCAAAGGTTGTCAAGGGTCGTGCTCGATAGACATTTTGGGAAATACTGCAAAGTTCTTAAGAAGGTACATGCCTTTACTCCTTTTTTCGATCTTTTAATTCAAATGCCTCAATTTGCAAATTTTGTGAAGAATATTAAAGATCAACATGAGGATAAGAAAGTAGTAAATGAGAAAGGCCCTACTCTCTTATATGATAGCTTACCACCTAAGCTGCATGATCCTGGTAGTTTCACTATTCCCTGTACGATAAACGAAAAATTTTTCGACAAGGTTTTGTGCGATTTAGGTGCTAGCGTTAATTTAATGCCTTATTCATTATATGAGAACTTAGGTTTGCAAAAACTTAAACCTTCCCATATTTCCCTTCAAATGGTTGATAGGACTTCTAGAATCCCTATGGGTGTGGTTGAAGATGTATTAGTCAAGGTTGGTGAACTTGTTTTTCCTGTTGATTTTGTCGTCATGGATATGCAAGAAGATCATTAGATCCCGATTATATTTGGTCGTCCATTCCTCGCCACAAGTCAAGCCCTAATAGATTTTCCTAAAGGACAAGTGACCATTAGGGCCAAGGATAAACAAGTCATGTCTAAGCTCTTTAATGAACATAATTCTACATTTGATGGTGGTACTTGCTTAAGAATCGATGCTACTAACCCTTTGGTTGATAAGTATGTATTTGATAGAAATTCTATGAGAAACGAGGATAAAATCCCACCCAATGATGTGTTTGGCCACATAAAGGTAAGTTCGGATACAAGGCAGGTCAATTATAAAATGAAGGAGTCACTTGGAGGCAGATATTTTCATGGGCAACATCGCAGAGTTCCTTCTTCGTGTGGTGACCCAGGTTGAGCTAACAACGATGGTCAAGCTAAAGACCTTATAAACAAGCGCTTTCGGGAGGCAACCCGCTTTTTTATATAATTTTTCTTATTAGTTTTAATTCTCTTGGTGTTTTTATGTCGTTTTTGTGTTGGTTTTGCTATTTTTCAGAGAACATAGATTTATAGGAGGAGCGGGATCCGAGAGATGTCGTCATAATTGGAAAACAAGGAGATTTGCTCTCTGCCCGGTTGGACCGGGCAAGGTGAGCCTGATCGGGCGTGAGAGCAGGGATGTTTGAAGGAGCTGCGTATTTGGCTAAGCAAGGCAGCCCCCTTTGCTCGATCAGACCGGGCATAGCCAGCCTGATCGGGCAAAGGGGGGTTAAAAATTCCAGTTAGCTTCTCATTCAAAAAAAAATAAAAAATAAAAAAGGGGAATAAGCTGCCCGATCAGATCGGGCATAGCCAGCCCGATCGGGCGCGAACAACAGCTTGGCAACGTAGCAACAGAACACAGCAAAACCCCCTCCGCCTGATTAGACCGGGCAAGCCCCGCCCGATCGGGCGCGAGGGAATTCCTGCGCTTATAAACCCGAATTCTCTTCTTTTTTCTCACTCTTTCATTAACTCTCAATCATCTTCTACTCTTTCTCTCTCTAAAAATCCCCAATTTCCAAACCGCAACTCTTTCAATCTCCATAATTCTCCACAAATCCTCTATCAAAACTCCAAATTTCTTCATCCCCCATCCTCCTTATTCAATTCCTAACATCCACAACCATTTTTCTTACCCAAATTTCCCTTTTCACCAAAAACCCCCATTTTCAAGTTAGAGAGAGAAACCTTCAAACAACATCAATGACTTTAATTCTCACAAGGAAGAGGAATAGGGGAGCACAACAGCAACACCAATTAGACTTGGAGAGCATCTCGGCATACCCAAATATCCAGTTCGTTCCCGAGTTCCCGAATCAAAAAGCAAGGTTGCTTGAGCTTCAATATAGGAAGGTAATTCCTACTCGGTTCATAGACCGATCTCTTCTTGTTAGGCTAGGAATTGGTATTGAATGTCAAAATTTGTTTTCTAGACTTGGCATGACTCAACTATTTAATATGATACATTATACATTTGAGGACATTACTCTTGAATTTCTTAGTTCATTTGATGTTGTGAAAGGTAGAGACGGTTTGGTTACGCATGTTGTGTATAGATTAATGAATAAATCTCACCGCCTTACCTTAGATGGCTTTGGTAGGAAATTTGGCCTCCTCTCTACGGGTTTGACTGTGCAACCCGATAGTTTCACCTCGTGGGAGTTATGGTTGGCATTGACGGGTGAGAACATAGAATCAATGTAACACGCCCGTGCTCATAAAATTCATCAACCGGCCCTTAGGATGTGGACTAGATCCTCGAGGTGGACAATTTTTGGTAGAATTGAACTAAACAATGTTCGGGCGGATGAAATCGCCATCCTAGGTAGCTACCTTAGCTTGGAAGATGAGGGAGAGGGGTTTAGGATGAACATAGCTCATTTATTTGCCCTCCATCTTAGGAAACAAGGGGCGACCTTTACAACCCTCAAACCAAATGGCGACCGTACCAACATCCCCATTGTCCTAGGTGGCTTAGTGACTCACCAAGCGGTTAAGGAGGGCTTTGTAGAAGCCCAAAATCGACCTGTGCTGGGCCCCATCACCTTGGACCAGCACTACCTCACCACCACCGGCTGGTTGTCGGTGGAGTACGGTATTTATAGCTGGCTACTAGACAGGAGCACTAGACGGTCCATTACCTTACCCGCCCCCGAGCTTACTAGGATCCAGCCTTACCAGCCTTCCTACCTCCTCGAGGCCCCTGGCGATGCACCTCCTCCTACTGCACCTACTCGGACCTACCATAGGAGAGAGCAGGGTGGCCCATCCCCATTCTCCACCGCTCCCGATACCCCTGTCGACCGTGAGTCCATCATGGCCGGAATACGGGAGCTTAGGTTAGGTCAGCAGGAGATCAGGTTGAACCAGCAGACCCTAGCCACCCGAGTTCACACCCTAGAGACTGACCTACGTCAGTCTATGTATCTTGTATATGATTTCTTTTGCAGACAGGGTCATATCCCGAGGGATGCTCAGCATCCCTCGTGGTATACCTTCCCCGATATGACCGACATTGCAGGTACTAGCGGGGCGGCTGATGGAGGTGATGACGATGATGATGGTGCTGATGATGAGTTCGCTTGAGGACTCAGGTTTTTCCTACTTCCCACTTGTTGCAATGAGGACATTGCCGAGTGTAGCTTGGGGGGAGTTTGTGCATAGTAGTTCAGGTATGTTCTCTGAGTTTTTATTTGTTTTGGTTTGTTTTCTTTTATGTGTTTTGGTGTGTGTTTGTTAATTGCTTTATTAGTTAGTTTTTAATTGCTTTGTTAGTATTTAGGTATATATATATAAAAAAAAAAAATTGAAAAATTGAAAAAATGAAAAAATACGAGAATCATGATAATGAATAGCCATTGAACTACTTCCCTGTGCCCCTATCCTTAATGCTAAAAAGGTTTTGATTTCATTTCGATTAAAAGACTTGCATTGTGGACGAAAAGATCATGATTTGACCTTGAATTTGTTGATCCCTAGTAGGAGTCAGAGCTATTTAACCATGTATGATTTAGGAGCTTGACTGTGTTAACCGTGAGGCTTGAGCCTTATATATTCATTCATGTGTGTGTTTAGTTCCTGGTGTAGCATTGATCTTAGTTTTAATTCTAGACTCTTAGTAGTGTGTCGTAATGCATTGCACGTGCATGTTGAAATGACGAAGGCCATGTTCATTAGGTGACCTCCAGACGAATTTAGAGCATCCGTTCCCTTCTTGCTCACCCATGTTGTAGCTTGACTATATTTTTCATGAACTCCACAAAAATTACCCCTTAGCCCCAATTTGGTTACTTTTCCCAAGTCTAACTTGGGGGAGCTATATTATGCGGTATTTTGTGTGATTTTATTTCAAGTTGCAATTGATGAGAAATATATGAAAAAAAGAGAGAAAAGAAGGAAAACTAGCATGGAGGTTTGTTGAAATTTTTTTTTAAAAAAAAAATAAAAAAAAGAGAATAAATCGATGAACAAGGAAAGAAAATCTTTTACTTAAAATGAAAGAAAATATCTTTGGTCTCGAGAAAAGAAGAAGAAAAAAAAAGGAAAGAAAAAGAGAAAAAATGTAGATGAAAAGAAATTTGAATAAAAGGAAGCTTGAAGTTAGAAAGAAATATGAAGAAGTAATGGGTGTTTTTATTTTAGTTGGGTTTGTGTTTTGTTGATTTAAAATGGTGAATTGAGGTGACTCAAGTCTTTTGATAGCTCCCCGATTAGACTAATATAGCTCACATTTCCCAAATTATCTCCTACCCATTCTTATTCCCGGCCTACGTTACAAGCTTCAAAAAGTCCTTCTGATCTTCGTGCATAGCGTTGTGTTCATGTGAAATGAGTCTTTTGTCAAAATGCTGGAGTATATGTTGCATTTCGAGTCAACATTGACTAGGTTGAGCGATATTATAACCCTCTAAACACGAGAGTGTTGTGAGATGGGGGGATTGCATTATTGGTGGGGATGGTAAGAGATCGAGCTCATTTTTAGCTCGCTACATAAAAAGTGTGTTGAGTGACCACCGATGTGAGATATTCTAGTCATCGATTCTTGAATTATATATGGTCGGTCTCGTTTGACGATTAATTGGGTGGATTGACGGTTTGAGTGATTTGATTGGTTGGCTAGTATGCATGCTTGTTTGATTTCGATTTTGAATCCGTGTTTTGAATTTGCATATGGGGTGAAGTATGTTGTTTGGTTGTTGATTATTTTTGATTGTCTTGCTTGAGGACAAGCAAGAGTTTAGCTTGGGGGAATTTGATATACACGTTTTATACATAGATTTATCCCGACTTTTCATTACATTCTTGTATGGTTTTAGGCTCTTTAGAGCCATTTTCCGCTAACATTCTCTCCTCTAGTGTGTTCGGTGTATTTTTATAAGTTTTACAAGAACTTGGAGTTTCTCGGATGATTCGGACACGTTTTTGAGCATTTTGGAGATGTTGGTGATAAGGATGTAAAACCGAGCTAAATAAGAACCAAGTCTTAGAAGAATTTGCAAGCAAGGAGCATTTTTTATATTGTGCCCGATCGGGCTATGAATGCCCGGTCAGACCGAGCACAGTAGGATTTGTTGGTTGATGCTAATGTTGAAGCAAAGAAGTTGTTTTAGGATTTTATGCCACGTGCCCGATCGGGCAACCCATGCCCGGTTGGACCGGGCGCGTGGTGGCTGATGGTGCTCAAGCTACGAAGATCAGCAAGGCAGCCAGAGAAGAAGCTGTGCCTCTCGCCCGATCGGGCGCTAAGGAAGAAGGAAAGGAAGAAGCAGCAGCTTATTTAATCCCACCTGCCCGATCGGGCATGGAAAACCCAGTCAGACCGGGCAGTGTGGTGCGCATTGCCGGTTTATTTTTTTCTTATTTTTATTTCATTAAGGGTATAAATACCCATTGTATTTATCATTAGAAAACAGATTATTATCTCCTTAAGTTTTATTTCTCTCTCTAGAACCCTAGTTTATCACTTTTTAGCAATTTAATTTCTAGGTTAGATTTGGTATTGTT